CTACATGCACTCACTCCAGCATTGGAGTTCATAGTAACATGGTTTCCTATGGATCTAGTTCACATCTGTGCCTTTTGAGCAGATGCACTTTTTGGAAAGGATCAGGGACTATGTTCCCCCGCAGCAGATTGCGCTTTGCGCGTAATAGACTTCAAAGAGCCCACATCAAAAAATCAAGTGATGCGTTTTGCGGGTTTTTTTGGGCGACTTTAATGCGACTTTACACTCCTGGCACATAACATCAAAGTTGCATTAAAGTCGCATCAAAGTAGTGCAGGAACCTTTAGGAGTCCAAACTGGCTAATAGGATAGTATGACAGTACGACTTTACACCTCTGGCACTCAAGTAGCACCAAAGTCACATCAAAGTTGCACTACATGAACAAAAAAACCCAAAATGCATCAACAAACGCACAAAAAAGCGTGTGCAAAAACACATCAGAAAAAAATTAATCAACCTAAATCTGCATAGACGTGAGCCTAGCCTTATGCCGGCATTGACGGGTCGAAAATCGGCCGATTTGCGCACCGTTAGTGGGTTAATTGGTCGGCTGTTTTTTGCACATTTTTTTAATCGGGCATGTTGGAAAATTTGCAGCTAATTTTCCTGGCAATGATGAGCAAATCGGCCGATCGTTTTACCGATTAAAAAAAATCTGCGCATGGCAGAGGAGGAGGAGGAGGATTCCAGTCCACTATTATATTTTATATGAAAAAGTCTTGCGATTGCAACAAATGTATCTATTTGTATCCGAATAAAACATCTGTATCCGAAATGGATACAAATGGATACAAATGGATACATTGTTGCAACCGCAAGACTTTTTCATATAAAATATAATAGCGGACTGGAATTCTTCTTCTTTTCTTCTTCTTATGTATTGCTCCACTGTATCTGCAAGGGACAGAAGTAATTATGGGTTAAATGCCGGCCGATTTTTTTTACCGTGGTGGGTTAATTGGTCGGCTGTTTTTTGGGGTTTTTGCACATTTTTTTAATCAGGCATGTTGGAAAATTCGCGGCTGATTTTCCTGGCAATAATGGGCAAATCGGCCGATTGTTTTACCGATTAAAAAAAATCTGCGCATGAGTGGAGGAGGATGATTCCAATCCGCTATTATATTTTATATGAAAAGTCTTGCGGTTACAACAAATGTATCCATTTGTATCCGAATAAAACATCTGTATCCGAAATGGATACAAATGGATACAAATAGATACATTGTTGCAACCGCAAGACTTTTCATATAAAATATAATAGCGGACTGGAATTCTTCTTCTTTTCTTCTTCTTATGTATTGCTCCCCTGTGTGCTCCCCCTTTCTCTGCAAGGGACAGAAGTAATTATGGGGTTAAATGCCGACCAATTTTTTTACCATTGGTCAGGGGCGGACTGACCATTTGGAAACTTGGGCACTGCCCGAGGGCCCGGAGTCAGTAGGGGGCCCCATGAGATGCCCCTGGTACCTTTTTCATAGGCTTTTTTGAGTTTGGGCAAGGACACAGGGGCCCCATGATCCCCTATTGCCCGGGGTCCCCATGAGTTGTCAGTCCGCCCCTGCCATTGGTGGTAACGTCGGCCGATCGAACAACCGATTTTTCGTTTTTTTTTTTTTTTTTAAAAGGCCAGTTTTCGATCCGTCTATGGCCTGCTTTAGATCAATTAAAGAGTTTTCTGAGAATCGGATGGCCGATGCATCTGATAAATCGCTAATATCACTCCACCAATGTACACTTCTCAGGTGATCTAAACTAACAAAAAAAGGAATAAACCTCCATTACTCAGTTCAAGGACTGACGTGTTGGAGTCACAGATTTAAAGATGATGCATGGAGTGTGTATGACCTCTCACATCTACTGTTTCAGGCAAATGCTGCCGTCCACTCGGCTCAAAGCACGCGAAAAAGGTCAAGGAAGCCTAATTTATAACACGGAAAAAGGTTCTGATGAAATTCTGTAATGAGGGTTCACCGAATCATCAGCAAGACATATAAAAATGCCGCTGCAAACCTTCAAAAAAAGAGCACGGATAAATGGGGTTTGACTCTTAGATGGTCATATAACAAGCAGTGCTCCAGAAAAAAAAATTGTCAACTAAACACGTGCGAAAAAAAAGTAGGATTAGTTGCTGGGTCTGAACAAGAAAAACAAAAAAACAACTATGCATCTCTCATGTATTAGGATTGTTTCCTGTGCTGGTCCTTATAAACTATGATGTCAGTCACTGTGATGTATAGAGGGGGGAGGGCACAATCTCATTGATTCCTACATGTTAGCACTGGGGTATGGTGTGGACGGTATGAGACCGGCCTCTCTCAACCAGGGTGCTATGGAGGCCTAGGGTTCCTCCAAAGGTTTCTATGGGTTCCTTGAGCAATGAGCAATTTTTGACTTTCAGGTAAGTAACCAGTGACATCAATAATATTTTTAGCCATCTGTAAGGTGGGTATTTTTCCCACTAACCACCAATGTAAGGGACATTCTTCCCACTGACCACCAATGTAAGGGACATTCTTCCCACTGACCACCAATGTAAGGGACATTCTTCCCACTGACCACCAATGTAAGGGACATTCTTCCTACTGAACACCAATGTAAGGGACATTCTTCCTACTGAACACCAATGTAAGGGACATTCTTCCTACTGAACCACCAATGTAAGGAGCATTCTTCCCACTGATCACCAATGTAAGGGACATTCTTTCCTACTGAACCACTGATCACCAATGTAAGGGACATTCTTCCCACTGATCACCAATGTAAGGGACATTCTTCCCACTGACCACCAATTTAAGGGACATTCTTCCCACTGACCACCAATGTAAGGGACATTCTTCCCACTGATCACCAATGTAAGGGACATTCTTCCCACTGACCCCAATGTAAGGGACATTCTTCCCCACTGATCACCAATGTAAGGAGCATTCTTCCCACCGATCACCAATGTAAGGGACATTCTTCCCCACTGATCACCAATGTAAGGGACATTCTTCCCACCGATCACCAATGTAAGGGACATTCTTCCCACTGATCACCAATGTAAGGAGGACATTCTTCCCACTGATCACCAATGTAAGGGGCATTCTTCCCCACTGACCAGCAATGTAAGGAGCATTCTTCCCACTGACCACCAATGTAAGGGACATTCTTCCCACTGACCAGCAATGTAAGGAGCATTCTTCCCACTGATCACCAATGTAAAGGATATTCTTCCCAATTTTTCTTTATTAAAAGTCTTGCAATCAATAAACATAAAATATTATACAGAATATAAAAAAATTATATATATTTACAGCAAAACGAAAATAAACATAGCAAAATCTGCTGTCAGACAAAAGCAAACGTCTCAGAAATGAACATGACATAATTGGGGAAATAAATCGTACTACCACTCACATCACTACACCAGACATCAAACCTGTGAGGTCAAGAAACCACCCCGCCCCCCTTATGCATGCAGCCCTTCTTCAAAAAAGATCTTAATCAACAAAAACTACGGGAGTGAAAAGAACAGTATAAGGAAAGAGCCCCTCACCCAGAGATGGACAGTTCACCAAAGGCAGATCTGATATTCCTCCACGCCCTTATCCAGACCGCCCGAGGCTCCCTGCCCCTCTCAAGACCCCGAAACTTCCCAACCTCACCCAGAATATCGTGCACCACCACCTCTACAGGGAGGACTTTCTTCCGGATGGTAATCTGACACCGTGCGTTCCATGTGAAGTAACGGACAACTATACTAACTAGAAAAATGTATCCAAATCAAAGTCCCAGTGAGCTGGGAATGCCCCGTACACCCACTCTGCATAACTCATGCGATAGAGAAAGGGGATGCCCAGAACCCTCCCCACCCTTTTATACACCTCTATGTTAAAGGGACACAGGAGCAGAAAGTGGTCCATAGACTCCACCTTACCAACACACTCTGCTCTAGGACAATCTCGATCATCCACAGGGCGGTGCTTCAGGTTCCCTCTCACATAGAGCCTTCCATGGAAAGCGAGCAAGGCTTGATCCCTAAACTTCAAAGGGATTCTCTCCAAGTTAATTAAACGCAATCCCTCCCTCATTACGGAGCCTGGGCAATCCTTTAAGGCCAGTGACACACTGAAAGCAGAAGCCAAAATCCTCTCCCCCAGAAGCTTCCTGGGAAGGGACCTGATATCCTCCACTGTCACCTGCCACTGCCGAAGTATTTTCAGACACGGGGCAACATAAGCCGGGAGCTTGCCATGTCGGACTCTCAGACTTTTCACTGGGCCGCCATCTTCCCAGCAATGCAAAAAGGCCTAAACCAAGACTGAAAAATACCCACCCATCCCGGCGGGGTCTCTGCTAACATATTACCAAGATTGTACTTTAAAAAGAGCAAAGAAAAAAAAACTATCGGGTTGACCATTCCTAGGCCACCCTCCCGCCTGGACAGGTAAGTTACATTGCATTTGATCAGGTTCAGCCTATTTCCCCCATAACAGTTGGAAAAAACAGCTGTAGACCCGTGCATAGAGAGATACTGGCAAGATACAGACGAAGCTGACATATAAAAAGATCGGGATCAGGTAAAATTTTGATCAAGTCAACCCTCTCTCTCAAGGAAAGCCTCCATCTCTTCCAGCTCTGCTACTTTGGCATTGGCAACTACCAACCTGCTTTCCCAGTTTCGATGACCATAGTCACCAGGACCAAATTTGATGCCCAAAATTTTAATTTCCTGCTGGGGCTCTGGGAAGGCATCCGGAAGTTCGAAGCTTTTCACCCTCCTCACCCATCCAGAAAACTTCACTCTTTTTCATGGTTGACTTTAGAGCCAGAAGCCTCCGTGTACTGCTCTATCACAGAGACCACCTCCTGCGCCTCCTCAGTCCCAGAGATAATAACAGACACATCATCAGCATAGGCAATGACCTTCAAAGGCGGCACACCAGCAAATGCCCAGAGGCACCCCGCACAACGATGCACACCCTCCAGCCTTCTTACAAAGGGGTCGATTGCGAAAGCATTATAGCAGGGGGCTCAAAGGACATCCCTGGCGCACACCAGAGCCGACCTCAAAAGGCCGCCCAACCCAACCATTAACAAGTGGGAAGCTCTCAGCCCCTTTATATAATGTCTTCAGCCAATCTATAAACCTCCCCTGCAGGCCGTATCTACCAAGCAGCAACCACAGATATATTTCATGATTCACTCGATCAAAAGCTTTCGCCTTGATCCAATGCCAGCAAGTACTTTCTCCATCCAGCAGCAGCCCTGCATTGTTCCAAAGCCTCCCGATAGCCAAAACCGCTGAAAATGTACTTCTACCTTGGACCCCCCCCCAACAGTGCTGATAGCTGGACAACAAATCGCCTGCTACTGACGACAAGCGCCAAAAAAGAATCTTTGCCAAGATCTTTCTATCAAACATTGAGAAGACTGATGGGGCGCCAGTTCTCAATCATTGAGGGGTCTTTACCTTTTGACAGAAGAATCACAGCAGATTGCCTCATGGAGGGAGGGAGCGAACCCTCTTCTAGACAGCTGTTAAAAACCTCCGCTAAAAAGGGAGCCAGAATGGACTTAAAACACTTGTAAAATTCAGCTGTCAATCCATCTGGCCCAGGCGATTTTTGGTAGCCAGCTTGTCTATAGCCTGAACTACCTCATCCGCTGAAATTGGTTCTGTCAAATTCATCAAAATCAATGCACCATTTCCCAATCCCGGAGTAGAATCCAGTAAAGCTTTCCATCCTGTCCCGGCTAAGGTCCTTTCTTCCCAGGAGGTCTGCATAATACGACCCAAAGATCTCCAAGATCCCCGATCTGGACTTTATCAGGGAACCCGTACTGTCTTTCAGGCCAATGACCGTCTTAACTGCTATGCCTTGCTTACAGTTCTGGTAAGGATCAGGTGAGTGATATTTTTCCCATAATCCCTCTCCAGAACCAAGGAGGCATGCGGTCGTATTGACACTTTCCTAAGAAGAAGCTTCACTTCAGAGATCTCCCCTGGATCCCCTCCATACGAGACAAGACGATCAAGCTTCCTCCGCAAATGCTGGTAGGCAATATACATACCAAGCTGCTTCTTCTTACTTATGGCCTTGAAAAGTCCAATCGCCCTTTGTTTCACAAGCTCCCACCACTCTGACTTACTGCTGCAAAAGTCCAAAATAGAAACCTGTGCCTGAAAAAAATCCTCAAAGGATTGTCTTACCTCTACATCTTCCAGGAGAGCCGAATTCAGTTTCCAGACACCCCTTCCCCTGGGTGGAGTGTCCGAGGCATTCAGAGTCACAGACAGCATACAGTGGTCAGAGAACTCCACCGCCTTCAACTCAGGAGCTGAGAAAGCAGAGTTCTCCTTTAAAAAAAACCTGTCTATCCTGCTCTGGGACTATTCCCTCTCTGAAATGTGAACCCCGTGCTGCCAGGGCAGTGCTTAATGTGCACATCTACCAGGCCTGCCTGTCTAACCAAATCTCTGAGAAAAATGCTATCATAACCCAGCCTGTCTATGGAGCCTCTCCTGTCTTCAGGCCTAATTATGGTGTTAAAGTCACCTCCAAAGACAACCTGCTGGGACGTAAAAAGGAAGGGCTTGATCTTTGTGAGGAGGCATTTCCTGCCCCATTTTGACTGGGTCCATAGATATTGATCAGGCGCAGGTCCTGCCCCCTAACAGAGACGTCTAAGACCATGCATCTCCCCATTTCTACCTCAATTACCCGCCGGCACGTTACCATATCGGTTTTAAAAAGGACCGCAACTCCGCTGCAAGGTTCAGCCGCAAGAGACCAAAAGGAGGGACCACATCTCCACTCCCTTTTTGCTAGATAGACATCGGCCAATGTATTGAGCCAGGTCTCTTGCAAAAATAAAATCTCAGAATCAAACTCGCTGAGCAAAAATAAGGCCGTATCACGAGCTCTTGCAGATTTAATGCTGGCGCATTAATGGTCGCCACCTTTAACAGAGTGGGAACTGCCATCAGGATGATTGGGGTAGTCGTTTTCTTAACCTCTACCACACTCTCATCACCCGAAAACAGCTCTCTTCAGAGTATGTGACTCCCCCTCATCCATAGATGATAGAGAAATAGATATATCTGATACCATCTCATCACCTGACAAAACTGAAAAGTATTGCCAAGAGGGACCCCTCCTGGATCTGATTCTGAGGAAGAGAGGACAGCTCTTCTCATCCAGCTTTTTCTTCTCTTCTTCTCCTTCACCCTCTCCCACCCTTCATCAGCCGAATCCCCCCAGCAGGAGGAGGTGAGACATGGGACATGGATACCCCTCCCTGAGCCCCATCGGCTCCACCCCCATCCGGCACCCCCACAACCTCCTGACCACGTTTGCGCTGTTGGGGGACAGGTACCGGAGGTGGAGTAGGCCGAGAGGGAAGATCAGCTACACCCGCCCCCCCCAGCAGCTTCCGCCAGTCTGGAGGATCTACGTACTGTAGGATTAGGGACAGGAGGGACAGACTCAGGGGTGACATTACTGGGGGAAAACACAATCTGACACAACAGACGGAACAGACACAGGAGGGGCAACAACAGTTTCCTCCCTAGCATCAGCTGCCTCCTCCTCTTTATCCTCTGCAGCCCCTCCTCCTGGCAGGTTGTGTAGTGCCTCTGGGCACAGACTGTATGGATGACCCAGCTGCTGGCACAAATTACACCGAAATCTCGGTGCATTCTTTGGCCAAATGGCCAAAATCCTGGCACAGTGAGCACTTCTTGATGGTGCAGGACGATGCAAAATGGCCTTTCTCTCCGCATTGGTTACAAACTTTTTAGGCTGACCTTGATAGAAAAATGGTCAGCCTATCCCTCCCCAGAAAGGCTGAGCAGGGAAGATGCTGAACCACATTGCCCAGCACCCTCAATTGCACTGACACCGTCCAGGCCCTGTCCATATCCTATGCTCATCCAGGACCTTCCGCAGTGGGGTGAGGACCTCACCATGTCGGCGTAGCCAAACTACTAAATCAGCCTCTGGTATGGATTCATTCCGGACCAGGATTGTCACTGATTTTATCAAAGGCTGTCTGGAAACCACCTTTGCCACCAAACCTTTCCACTGCTGAAGGCTCCTGCACCTCCAATATCTCTCCCAAAACAGGTCCAGGCCTTCAGGTTTTAAAAATGACAAATCATATTCATAGCTGTCGACTGGGCAGATCAACGCAAACACATCACAGGCTTTAAACCCCATCTCCAGAATCAAACTCCGCCACCCTCCCCCCTTACTGGTGGGTTCCCTTCCCCCTCCCACTTCAACTGTACCACATTCCTTCTCCTGACCCCACCAACCATCCTCCCACCACCAAACCTCCCAAAATTGTGACCATTAGTATTCCCAACACTACCCCCCACCCCCTTGGTGCGACTCCCCAAAACAGAGGCATAGCTCCCCCCAATCCTCCCAGCAGCAGAAAAACATTTGTGTGTCTGGGAGCGTCTGGTGCAACTCTAGCAGATACCGATTGCACAGATCCAGGATTGGATGGTGTATCCTCTCTCTGCTCAGCAGGGGGGAGAAATGTCATTTTTACCTCTGTCAGCAATGTTAACCCCTTCACCTCCACCCACCACCACCACATCCATTGCTTTAGCAGTCTCAACAGTCATAGAGTTCTCAGAAATGTCCGCACTCACTGCTGCAACCATAGAAGCTCCTTCAATCATCTCTCCTTCCAAGAAAGGACACTCAGCCCAGGACTGGATCGGATTCTCAGACACAGCAACAAGTGAGACATCCATGTTTGCTCTCCATGTTGTGCAGTGTGCTGCTCCCCTCCCCCACCAGCATCAATCAGCTCTGGAGCACCTGGGAGCTCAGGTGAAACAGTCTCTCTGCAGGGGGCAGCCATCTTGCATGTAGAGGGACTACTGGTCTCAGCAGGAACAGCAATTTCCATCTGTGGGGTGCTTGGTGCAGGTTCATCCACATTGCCCTGATGGTCTGGAGACCTCTCTGCCAGGAATTCTTCCTCCAGGTTGGATGAGGATTCCTCCACAGCATCTTCCTCCTCATCCACAGTACTGACCACAGCAGGTGGGGCAGACATGCTGGAAGCAGCCATCTTAGTATACTGGGATCTCTCCACCAGTCTTGGCTTTGCTGCTCTGTACCTCCTCTGTCCATCTTCAGGGGACTTCTGCAGGGTCATCAGTGAAGGCAAACTTGTCTGCTCTCAGAGGAGACTCCATGTGCTGAATGAACTTCAGGGTTCCATACTCTCACCCTCAACCCCCTGGCTGGTTGCCACTGGTGATTCCACAGCCTGACATGGGGGGAGAGACGCTGATGTAGATGGAACTGGGGTCATCCATTACCTGAGGCTGCTGATCCACAGAGCTCGCTGATGTCTGGCTGGCAAATCTCTCATGTTCAAATTTTCTTTAAATGCTCCACTTCTAGCTTTCAACTTTTCTAATAATAAAGATTGTTTCTTTACTTTATCCTCCATGTGCTGGAGCGCTGGCTTCATGCCCAATCTGTTCTTGCTCCAGCCTGGCAGTATTTGGCTCTGAAGGTTTTGTGTTCAGATTTCAAAACATTGAGTTTCTCCTCAGCTCTTCCAATAGTCACAAATCTATCAATAATCTTCTGTCTGAAGACATCGACATCCTCACCAGGGCTGGGACCCACAGTCAGGTCCTCCACCTCCTCCTCTTCACTAGGCCCGGTCTCATCAGGGGAATCCCTCCCAGGGCCTCCCACTGGATCAGGCATGGTTCCTGGGCCAAGCTAGCAGGCAAGGCCCAGGCTTGAAAATGCTGGTTCTCAGGGAGAGCTCCTTCAGTGTGTCCTCCTCCTTCTCCCACTGACCACCAAAGTAAGGGACATTCTTCCCCACTGACCCCCAATGTAAGGGACATTCTTCCCACTGACCCCCAATGTAAGAGGCATTCTTCCCACTGATCACCAATGTAAGGGGCATTCTTCCCACTGATCACCAATGTAAGGGGCATTCTTCCCACTGATCACCAATGTAAGGGGCATTCTTCCCACTGATCACAATGTAAGGGACATTCTTCCCACTGATCACCAATGTAAGGAGCATTCTTCCCACTGATCACCAATGTAAGGGACATTCTTTCCCACTGATCACCAATGTAAGGGACATTCTTCCCACTGATCACCAATGTAAGGGGCATTCTTCCCATGATCACCAATGTAAGGGGCATTCTTACCAATGGCCACCAATGTAAGGGGCATTCTTCCCAATGATCACCAATGTAAGGGCATTCTTCCCACTGACCACCAATGTAAGGGACATTCTTCCCACTGATCACCAATGTAAGGGACATTCTTCCCACTGACCACCAATGTAAGGGACATTCTTCCCACTGATCACCAATGTAAGGGACATTCTTCCCACTGATCACCAATGTAAGGGGCATTCTTACCA